ACTTCAACGGGTGCTTAAAGGTATCGTAAAGTACTTGAAATACAACCACTCTAAAGGTAGCTTAAAGGATCGTAAATACCTGTAAACACAAGCACTCGAAGGTGCTTAGAGGATCGTAAATACCTGAAACACAAGCACTCGAAGGTGCTTAAAGGATCGTAAATACCTGAAACACAAGCACTCGAAGGTGCTTAAAGGATCGTAAATACCTGAAACACAACCACTCGAAGGTGCTTAAAGGATTGTAAATACTTCAAACACAACCACTCGAAGGTGCTTAAAGGATCGTAAATACTTGAAACACAACCACTCGAAGGTGCTTAGAGGATCGTAAATACTTGAAACACGACCACTCGAAGGTGCTTAGAGGATCGTAAATACTTGAAATACAAGCCATTCGAAGGTGCTTAGAGGATCGTAAATACTTGAAACACGACCACTCGAAGGTGCTTAGAGGATCGTAAATACTTGAAACACGACCACTCGAAGGTGCTTAGAGGATCGTAAATACTTGAAATACAACCAGTCGAAGGTGCTTAAAAGATCGTAAATACTTGAAACACAACCACTCGAAGGTGCTTAAAGAATCGTAAATAGGTTTGGATCAAACTTGATCTAAAGTAATGTATTCTGCTAAATACTGGGTGATTTTATTCTTTCAAATAATTCTAAAAATATCTGTTTTTTGTTATTTCCAAAAGCCAAACTTAATTTGCAACCTCAAAAAGTATAGCGACGCGATGCTTTTTTCCATAACGTTTATTTTCAAGCTTTACATAATAATTTGTTCACTATGTTGATTTCTAACCTAGATTTGTTTGTTTTGTTTTTAAGCACAAAAGTATACAATGGCACTGTGCTCACCATGGATATTGTAACCTGCTTTTTAGATTATAAGCTTTCAGACTTACTGCTGAGCCACTGGGAGCAGTACGCCCTTGAACCCTTGGGTAAACACTGCTGAGCCACTAGGAGCAGTATGCCCTTGAAACCTAAGGTAAACACTGCTGAGCTACTGGGAGCAGTATGCCCTAGAAACCTAAGGTAAACACTACTGAGCCACTGGGAGCAGTATGCCCTTGAACCCTAAGGTAAACACTGCTGAGCCACTAGGAGCAGTATGCCCTTGAACCCTTGGGTAAACACTGCTGAGCCACTAGGAGCAGTATGCCCTTGAACCTTTGGGTAAACACTGCTGAGCCACTAGGAGCAGTATGCCCTTGAACCCTTGGGTAAACACTGCTGAGCCACTAGGAGCAGTATGCCCTTGAACCCTTGGGTAAACACTGCTGAGCCACTAGGAGCAGTATGCCCTTGAACCTTTGGGTAAACACTGCTGAGCCACTGGGGTGTAGTGTGCTCTAGAACTCTAAGGTAAACACTGCTGTGCTACTGGCAGCAGTATGCCCTAGAAACCTAAGGTAAACACTGCTGAGCTACTAGGGTGTAGTGTGCCCTTGAAACCTAAGGTAAACACTGCTGAGCTACTAGGGTGTAGTGTGCTCTAGAACTCTAAGGTAAACCCGTTTTCAAGCAACAAACTTGTACGACTTTTAGAACAGATTCGTGAAAGTGCTAGTGTTTCGTTTTACTACTCATTAGTTGTCTTGTAATGGCACGTAGAGATGAAACGTTGTCTTGTAATGGCACGTAGAGATGAAACGTTGTCTTGTAATGGCACGTAGAGGTGAAACGTTGTCTTGTAATGGCACGTAGAGGTGAAACGTTGTCTTGTAATAGTACGAAACTCAATTTTTATCGTCCTAAACCCGCAGACTTAGCGCTGAGTTACTGGGGAGGTACGATAGTTCAGAAATATGTGGATTGTCGGATTCAGGACATATGGAAGTACACCAGTTGAAAACAACCATTTTTACAGGTTGTTGTAGTTGAGCAATACAGAGGATAACTATCTGTATGGAAATATTTCAGTCCAAATTTTTTAAAGTAAGTCATAAATAAAACATTTAAAATTTTCTAACTTCAATTATAATTGTATATATCAAAACTGCCACCGAAAAAAAAAAAATAAGAATATAACAAGTACGTCAATAGAAACGCTAATGAAGAAATTTAAGTCAACAGTTAGTCGTTTTTTGGAAGATTCATCTTCTTATTTTTTCGGGGCTTCAGGCCACTTGAAAATGTTGAAATGTACTATTTAATCAGCACCAGCCAATTTAATAAACTTTTTTTACACCTATAATATATAATAGGAAACTTGAACTTTTATTTTTCTTAAAACTTTTTCAAATGTTCTGTCAGTAACAAACGTTTAAGTTTGAATTGTGTGTAGTGTTAATCTGAATCTAGGAATATTTGAGTGTTTGATTTGTGTGTAGTGTTAATCTAAATCTGGGAATATTCGAGTGTTTGAATTGTGTGTAGTGTTAATCTGAATCTGGGAATATTCGAGTGTTTGATTTGTGTGTAGTGTTAATCTGAATCTAGTAATATTCGAGTGTTTGAATTGTGTGTAGTGTTAATCTGAATCTGGGAATATTCGAGTGTTTGAATTGTGTGTAGTGTTAATCTGAATCTGGGAATATTTGAGTGTTTGAATTGAGTGTAGTGTTAATCTGAATCTAGTAATATTCGAGTGTTTGAATTGTATGTAGTGTTAATCTGAATCTAGTAATATTCGAGTGTTTGATTTGTGTGTAGTGTTAATCTGAATGTGGGAATAGTCGAGTGATTGAATTGTGTGTAGTGTTAATCTGAATCTAAGAATATTCGAGTGTTTGAATTGTGTGTAGTGTTAATCTGAATCTGGGAATATTCGAGTGTTTTAATTTTAAAACTAGTAAAATAAGCAGCAGTAAAACGATGCACTCGAAGCCTTTGTGTTAAACTTTTTTTTCCTGCGAATTAGGCATCAGTTATTATAGTTAAAAACGTGTTCGTCAACAAGTAAAGGCTTAACAACTGCTTGTTAGTTCCCACTTACTTCTCTGTCGTGCCCGATGTATTTGATCAGGATACAGCCGTCCCCGTTCGAGCTTTTCTTAACTAGGGGGAGATGAGACATATAATGGGGCTAAATCTAAAATCAAATTAATGACCGGCGTCAGCTTTGAGGCAACGACATTTAAAGGGCGCATCCCCTCCCTCCCCCGCTTACGCATACCTTGGGATACAGTTATAGTTGGCCATTAAAGCTGAAAAAGGCTCTCTAATAACTGGAGATTCGCGGAGGTCGGGAAGGGTGTATGTTTTCTCACGAGTTTCGATAGTTGAGTGACAACGAAAAAGACAAGACATAGGTATATACACAGAAGAAACGTTTAATGAAAATCTTACATATTAAAATACTACAACGCACTACAACCCCAATAAACAGGTATACAGTTGAGATTAGGGCTAGTAATGTTGGTGTTTGCATGTAGAAACACGTAGCACCAGCAAGAATGATGAAGACTAATAAACAATGAGCTCTTTACTAGTGGGGTTCTTTACCCTGCAACTTGAGCTGGAGTATAAACGAGACATACTAACAGAGACGTTCTCCGAGTTAATATGTAAAACATGTAAAATTAACCCTAATTCCAAGTTAGATTTCACTACAAAAATAATAATCCTTACTTTAATTAAATATAACTCTGTGCTCCCTATCCTGTGAAAGAACTTATATAAAGGTCGCTCAAGGCAAGCGTAAACAACTTAATTAAATTACAAGCGAAAGCCAAACGGCGCCCGCACAACAGAAAGTGAACTCTGACGTCAAGAGAGAGGACTTTAGGGGTTCTGGGAGAGTGAAACAACAGAAAAATACACTAACCTGTTACAAGTTATCATTATACGATAAAACTTTTGAAGTCATGGCGTAGAAGTTGTGAAATAATTGCAAAAATACTGTTAAATCTTAGGTCAAAATCTCTGTAAAATCTCTGTTACTTTCTTATAACATCTGTTTAAAATCCACGTAAAAAATCTCTGTTACTATCTTGTAAAATCTCTATAAAACCTGTGAAAAGAATCTTGTAAAAACCCGTGTGATTCTGCCCTACCATTACTGTCTTAAATATGTCAATAGATTATCAAGTCCCTGAGACAACAAAACTGCGATTGGTGTCTATTAGATCACCCCCCCCCTCCCCAGTTGCACAGTGGTATGTCTTAGAACACTAGAAACCGGGTTTCGGTACCCGTGGTGGGCAGAGCACAGATAGCCCAAGGGGCTGTGAAGTTCATGGGTGAGTCCACCTGCAGCTCCTGCCTGATTCGCCGACAAGAATAATTCAGCCCTCTAATTAAAAGCAACGTTGTTATTCCAGTAAGAGAATCAAGCAAACAGACTTCTTAAACATCGGTTAACCTAATTCATCCCTTAAGGAAAGTGGTAGCTAGAAAATATTTGAGCGCCCCTCTACGTCTAACTATGGAACTATAAGATACAACATAATTTTGAAAATTTTATTTTTTTAGCTAAAGGAAAATTTATATTGTACGTTCAGGTAGTACAGTAGCTTATGAAATAACTGTTAATGTAGAACAAAATTATAAAAAAAAAATTAGAAAGTCTCGTAAATTATCAACCGCCAAGAATGTTGATAGAAACAATCGTGAAAAAAGAAAGTAAATCTCATTACATCGAGCAGCTTGCCGGAGGTAAAGATAATTCACAGCTTCAGCAATTAGGACATTAATTAACAAGCTTGATAGCTGGGGGTTATAGCATATTAAACTTAATTACCACCCTGAGTTTCTTCGTCATCTTAATTATCCTTCCGCAGCTTTTAAATAGACAAAGTTCCAGGTTAACACGCATAATTCTAACGTTTCAATACATATATTTACTTTTCAGTAAGCAGGAAACAAGTCATCGACATTTAGATCTTAAGGTCAACTGGACAGACAACTTTGTGTCTTGAGTATGGACGAATCCTTTTTAAAAAGTCGCGAAACAAAACACAATATTTTTATCGATTGGTTGATAAAGTCTGGCTGGATTCATGTATAGGTGATTAACATACATATCCATGCTAAATTAAATAATTGCTTTCAGCCCTATTTTGTCTCACTCATAATCAGTCTTACTAAACTTACAGGTGTATTACATATATGTTCTACAAAGTTCCTACTGATCTATCTGATAAGCTTACATTTGCAGTATTAGGCTTAAATAAACTCCGCAGCACTCAGAGAACTAACGGAGAAGTTCTATATCTGTATTTTTTTTTTCACAGTTCCAGCTACAACTTTTAATTTCACCCTTACCAAATGCTCGGAAACTGAAGTGAGTTTTCTCTGCGACGCCAGAGGGCTGTACCCTCGTCCTCATATATCCGTGAGTCTCCCGTCTATGGACCACGAGGATAAAAAAATCTATAAAAGAACTAAGAGTCAGGTGATTAAAATTGGCGCCACCTATAGCACCTCACTGACTGGAAAACTCTTTGTCTCTGACTTAGCAGATCGTCGGCCACCGGTTCTAGAGTGCAGAGTCGAAATTCCCGGAACAAATTACAAAATATCCAAACAGATTAGTTATTTTCCAGGTAAATAAGTGCTTTAAGCTTTTTTTCTAATTAAATGTATTCAGATATATCATTACTAATACTTAACCCAAAGCTCACTTTAATACCCTTGTTAGATTAAAAACAACACTAATTATTACGTAAATACCCATTGTTAGAGTAAAAAACAACACTAATTATTACGTAAATATCCATTGTTAGAGTAAAAACAACACTAATTATTACGTAAATATCCATTGTTAGAGTAAAAAAGAATAGTAATTATTACGTAAATAAACATTGTTAGAGTAAAGAAGAACACTAATTATTACGTAAATATCCACTGTTAGAGAAATAAACAACACTAATTATTACGTAAATACCCATTGTTAGAGTAAAAAAGCAACACTAATTATTACGTAAATATCCACTGTTAGAGAAATAAACAACACTAATTATTACGTAAATACCCATTGTTAGAGTAAAAAACAACACTAATTATTACGTAAATACCCATTGTTAGAGTAAAAACAACACTAATTATTACGTAAATATCCATTGTTAGAGTAAAGAAGAACACTAATTATTACGTAAATACCCATTGTTAGAGTAAAGAAGAACACTAATTATTACGTAAATACCCGTTGTTAGAGTAAAGAAGAACACTAATTATTACGTAAATATCCATTGTTAGAGTAAAGAAGAACACTAATTATTACGTAAATATCCATTGTTAGAGTAAAGAAGAACACTAATTATTACGTAAATATCCATTGTTAGAGTAAAGAATACTAATTATTACGTAAATAAACATTGTTAGAGTGAAGAAGAACACTAATTATTACGTAAATATCCATTGTTAGAGTGAAGAAGAACACTAATTATTACGTAAATATCCATTGTTAGAGTAAAGAAGAACACTAA